TCAATGGTGGTTAGTTGCCATGCGCTGAAGTTGATTTTTGTAGCAGTGTCCAGAGCCAGCATTTTCGCGAGCATCAACGCTTCATATTAGTTTTGCTGCGCAAGTGCAAAAAACAGCTTATATAAACATCTGGAACTCTTACATATGTCTGTGCGTGCAACATTTGTACATATATGTAGCGTCATTTCGTGTCATGTCGCTCAATAAAAAAATTTTGAACGCAGTCACCTTGCCTCCGCATGCTTTGCATAACGTCGATTCCCAGGTACACGAGATCTGCCCAACTTTTACGGGACGTGAATTTACGACAAAGGTATGGGACTGGTGCAAACATGATAATCATGAGATGCGTCTCATGTAACATGACCACATGTTCCACGCTCATGAGGCGCTGGTGGCCGTTTCGCTAGCTTCACATATACCAAATTTGGTATTGCATGACGTGAATAGGCGACGAAGGTAAGTGACACGTCCGAACATGATAATCATGGTATGCGTGCGATGTAAAACAAGGCTACGCTGATAGCGTGCTTGCGGCCGTTTCACTAGGTACCCGTATACCGAATTTGGTATCACGTGACGTGAATGGACGACGAGTGTAAATGACACGTCCAACCATGATAATCATGGCATGCGTGTCATGTAAAACTGAACTACATGCTACGCTCATAGCAGACTCGCGTCCGTGTCGCTAGCTGCGCATATACCAAATTCGGTATCAGGTGACGTGAATAGATTACGAAGATAAACGACACGCCCAAACGTGATAATCATCGCATGGAATTAAGTAATGTACGGCACAATTTACCTCGGCCTCATAACGTTGTGCACGGTTTAAAGTGACATATCAACCTTCTTCATTCGTGCGTCGCATATCATCGATTCCCGCTTTACTTGGGATCAGCCAATTTTTATTCTTAGCTGGTCACCGACTATAGATTCTAGTTGCCTTTCGCTGCGCTCTGTTATCGCAAACTATTTTTCTTGAAACCTGGGGGAAGGGGGGGGGGGGGTTCGGTGCTTATATTTTTGTGGAAATTCTGCGTTTATTAGAGTTAAGTTCTAGTGAATGTCCGGTTCTCAGAAATTCTGAGTTTGATTTCGAATCATTCACAATACTCCAATTTCTTAGACGAAACTGGAGTGTGGTATCGGACACGAAAACATAAGATCACACAGAGCTCGTATTAATTGCCTGGAAGGTCTAATGCACAAACACGTACACGCACAAGCACAAATACTTGTGTTAAAAATGTGTGCGCTTTGAATTCAAGTGCTGGCGTGGCTTGGGGAGGGGGGCTCAAGCACGCTTGTGCTTGCTCCGCCCCCCCCCCCCCCCAAGTCACACCAGCATTTACCCGCCCACTCTCCCCGTCTCGACGCAACACGGGATTTTTTGGGGGGAACGGGGGAGTGCGGTGGGGGGGGGGGGAAGCTTGTTGTTCCCCTCGAAGACTAAATCCCGCCTACGCCCACCGCAGCCTATCTCTTTGCTTTTTTCATGCGAAGAATTATGTACAGGATACTTCCTGTCGAGGTTTACGATGCAGCTCTCAGTGAACATTTATAAAAGCATAATATTTTTTGAGCGAGCGTTTAGTAATGTTTTTAGCGGTGCAATGTTTCGCTTACAAAGTGCTTCTTAAAGCCATGATCAAGGCTAACTATATGCCACAACATCATTTAAACTACGATCTCCTTTTATTGGACTTCGTATTTAGCACCTAAAACTCTAAAATTAAATTTTAATACTCTGTGATCCAGACTCTCCGAGACATTGCCTGTAAGCTTATGAATTTAGATAAGCTGCCTAATTACCAATCGGCTATTTTCGGGGGCAAGCTCGTGTTGTTTCCATATGGCAGCTATCTCGTTAGGGTGTGCTGTAGCGGTCGCATTCGCAACAACTGCATCCGATCGCCGTGCCGCTTTTCGCTGCGGTGGCTGAATAAAAGTTCGTTGCAGGTCCAGATGACGTTTCGACTACGGACGCCATCGGCACAGGTGGACTGCAAGGAGTGCCCTCCTGCGTACATCGGCTTGGCCACGCAACTCAAGGTATATATAAAAAAAAAAGATAGGGAAGAGCGAGACGCGTATAGGGAAGGGTGTTTCAGCTCGACTTTCATGTCCCTTTCATTTTATTTTACCTTCAAGAGCGAAGTATTGCAGAGGGAAGTGATTCGGCCATCGCAAGGTTTCACGAACATTTCAAAAAACAATGCATAGATCTCCCATGGCGCTCAAGTTCTCACGTTAGCGAGGAGGGAAGCGTGCTGTGTTTTGAGAGATCATTCTTGCCAAGCCTGAAACCGTCCGTGTAGAGAAGAGTGTTTCCGTTTCACCAACGTCACCGAAAAGCTGCGCCAGAATGCAACTTAACTCGGAACGTCATTCTTCCCTATACGCGCCCGGTTTCACTTCCCTGTGGCATGTATACGGAAAGGTGTTTTAGCTTCAGTAACGTCGTAGGCTATTCGTTGGCGTAACCGTTGCCTTATTCATTTTTAGTGGACCGATGCAGAGTTTTCTTAGCTCATACCTGTTTTACGATGGGCTGTGACTACTTGACCCACCGTGACGACATGACACGCCCACAAGCCGATAACCTATAAGGTGGTTCTCGTCTCACTCGTGAAGGCGCATGAAAAATTCGTAAACAGGGGGATGTTCGATAGAGCCGACGTTTTGACGAGCGGGCTTGTCGTCTTCAAGGCTCAACGTTTCGACGAGTGGGTTTGTCTTCAAGGCTGCAACTATAACAGCCTTGAAGACGACAAGCCCACTCGTCAAAACGTCGGCTCCATCGCACATTTTGGCTTGTCGTAACGTCGGCTCCACCGCACATCCTTACAATTCTTCGCACATGCTTACAAATTCTTCATCGCAAGCTTTCATCTTCCTTTCATGCCTCTGTTCATATTAGTCCGTGCTTTTATGCCCCGTAGAAAGATAGAAGGAGCTTCGTTAAGAAACAATACATGAGACCTTTTTTGCGACGAGGCTGTTTTCATGCCGCAGTCCATCTGCAAGCACACCTGGTGCCCTTAGAGAGCTGTGGCAGAACTGTGGATTCTATCATGATGCTGTAAATGTGTTCTTGCAGTGCTAAATTGATGAAACCTCCGGTGTTCTAGGGATCGGTCGAGGAGCTAACGCATTTAAGTCATCAAATTTTGGCGGTACGCCGCATGCGTTATGCCAAGTCAATCGAGTCGAGGCACTGCGTCAGCTTGGAAGCAACGCGATTACGAAGAACGGCAATGACAACAGACACGGGAATGTGCCTGTCAGTTCCGCTGGTCGCCCACCTTCACAGAGCAGAATGTTACCGAGTTCTTTCTCTGTGTTGATGGTCAAGAGCAGCGCACCTATAAAGGGACCCTGCACCATTCTATTAAGTAATCATCAAACGGCTTCATTAATAGTCTGTTGTTTCACGAATCAACAACCGAAAAAAAAATCACGGCACATCCACGGAGTGAATGATGATGATTGAGGCGAAGCGTCCGTCCAGATGCAAGGACGGACGTACGCATGGACGGAAGGCCAGACGCACGGACGGACGGACAGGCAGACGGACGAATTAATGGACGTACGGGCGGACAGACAAACAGACTGACAAACGAACGAGCGAACGAACGAACGGACGCACGGACGGACGCATGGACGCGCGGACAGACTGACCAACGCTACGCCCCGCTCATCATCATTCACTCCATGGATATGCTGACACCGTTTTCATTGACATGCAATGCAATTTTACGACCTTGAAAACTGCCTATACTACTACGACGACACGGTCGACGTACGACCCACGGCGCAAGGAGCTTCGCCCCCAGAAATTAGAATCCCTCAAGTACGGGCTGAGTTACACAGAATTTCCAACGTTTTAGTGCTTCCTCTCTGTTTTCGTTCCAGCGAACGCAGCTACACAAGAGGGGGGGGGGGGGTGAAGTGGAGGATGACAAGGTGGCGAAAAGCTACGTCCGTTCATAGTGCGTGTCATGACTTCTAGCTCTTCTCTTCTTTTTTTTTCTTCGAACACGTGGCTTACTTACAATGTGACCGGAAGTGCACGCGAGAACATGGCGAAGCAACCCGCGCCGCGGCCGCGGTAACTACGCAGCTTACCATGCTCAACTCAGCAAATAGCCGTAGCCTTTGTAGTTATGGCGCGGTCATTCGGGTTTAGGGCATCATTTGTCGAGAGAAGAGCGAGTGATTTCTAGATGACTCTGGCAACTGTCTGAAAATTTCAGGACGCGCTATGTTTGGCTCACGTGATTCCATGAGCCTGGAATACCAATCGGCAGCGTTTTCTGACCATGCCGAAGAAGTGTTGCAGGGACCGTGAAGGCGCGCTATGTATGCATGCTTCCCAAATGCAATTGCTTTTGCTCGAAGAAGAGCGTGAGCGAACAAACTTGCCCTAGAAGCACGCCGTTTCAACTCCTATAGTCTAAGGAAGCCGCGTTTGGTCGGAGTTTTGTGAATCATGTGTGACCGAAAACCACGCGGCAGCCACTGACCACGTTTGGCACCAGTGGTCGTTTTTCATCATTAGTGACGTGAGGAAAACCCCGAATGTCTGTGCTGGCCGTGCTGACATGTGACATTGAGTCAGGAATATACATTCTCGAGCTGAACGAGGATGCAAGAATAAAAAAAAAAATCTGGACCTGAGTTCCCAAACAACACTTAGTGCATTTTGCCGTTGGCCAGCCGCGGCGTTTTTAATGACATGCCAAGTTTCGCGATAGGCTGAAGATTACTCTTCCCAACAATTCTGTGTGTGTGTGTGTGTGTGTGTGTGTGTGCGTGCGTGCGTGCGTGCGTGCGTGTGCGTGTGCGTGTGTGTGTGTGTGTGTGTGTGTGTGTGTGTGTGTGTGTGTGTGTGTGTGTGTGTGTGTGTGTGTGTGTGTGTGTGTGTGTGTGTGTGTGTGTGTGTGTGAAAATTGGTCTCTTTGATTCATAACGTCCATGCGTGTTCGTCGCAGACAGTTCGCCAGAACAACCCCCTGCTGCGCACGCTCATCGCCTCCCTGAGCTCGGTGTCGTACGCGCTGGAGCGGACTGACCTGGCCCTCCCGTTGCGGCTGATCGCCTTCCTGCCCAACGACACGCGCAACTACTACATGTACGAGGGCTCACGCACGGTGCCACCTTGCACCGAGAACGTGCTCTGGATCGTGTTTCGGGAGCCCGCCTTCATCGGCCGGGAGCAGGTGTGTGAGCGCGCAGTGACGACGAATTGTTTATTGCAGAGGACAGGGAAGCCAGGGCTACCCTCGCCCTACTCTGATCCACCAGACTCCAACTAGTACGGGGGAAATGAGAAAACTAAAGCACCGGAAGTAAAAATAGCGCACAAATATAGACAAGGACAGAGGAAGAGTCTATATTTGTGCGCTGTTTTTACTTCCCGAGTATGAACCACCAACTAGCCCAACTTTCGCTATTATTAAAGCACCGGACTAGAAGAGTGGTTTAATATACAGGAGGACTATAGCAGTGCGTATGCTTTGCCAAAAGGATGAGGGGTAGTTTTCTCGTAGCCCTCCCATTGCTCTCGTCGAAAAGACATGCTTACAGCGAATGAAGAAAATGAAGCTTAAGTGGCGGCGTGATTGGCACAATGACCTGTCTTTGATCTCCAGCTTCCCAGGAGCGAAGATGGAAAGTAAACCGTTCTTGAAATGGGTACCTTCGGCCGCCATTATCGTCAAAAACATGCTCGACAATGAACCCATTCTTTAAGCAATGACGGGATAGATCCAACGGAGTAACTCTACGGGGAAGACATTTCAGCACCCCTTGGTTAGGATGGGTAGCTCCCCCTCTCCCCAACCCACGTGTACACGACTCTGCGGAAACAAGCAAACGTAAGTATTCAGCGTTAGCGTTACATGCTACACAGTGCGCATGCGCAGCCCGCAGACGTAGCCGGAGCTATTATGCGCGTTTCGTATCCAACTGCGTACGCGTGTCACTGGAACAGAAACGAGACAAACGTTCGAACTCTGATCGCGTTTGGTGTGCAGGTAAAGATGCTCCGACAGCTGTACGCGTTCCCGGAGGTGTTCAACTGCAACAGGCACCTGGTGGCCAACTTGAGACCCCTGCAGGAGATTGGCCGTACCAGGATGCTCTACAGAACATTCAGGTGCGCGGACGGGGCGGCTCTCATACCGTTTTGCCTATGCATGCGGCGAGCAGTCCGCAAACTTGTTAAGTTGGCCTTGCCGCGTGGCACAGCAGCTCTTACGTATCGACTATTTTACGGATGGGTTTCGGTGCCGCCATATTGGGTTGTAGCCTTGCCATTCTAAAACTTTAACAGCTAAACGAACAGAGCTACGGTAGAAGTACGGTAGGTTCCACTGTTAAAGAGAACACTTGCATGCACAGCATGTTTGTATTCCACACTCCTGCAAAATCATAGTGGCTTATATTTACCTGAAACTTCTGGTGCATGGCAGTTCTGGCTTCTTTTGACAGACTAGAGCCCCGCATAAAAATTGCATTGCTTCCTTATCCACCTGGCCGGCAATATGAAAGGTGCTCATTGTAGTGTTTCGTTTAGCAGTGGACGGTACTGTACATTCATATGGAAACGGTTGGCTTGGTGCATTCGACGTTGACAGTATGGTCTTATGAATTCACGTATGATGTACAAAAGTAAGAAAACATTCCTTAAATAGCCCAACGAGGTGGCACCTATGTGTCGTAAGTAAGATATTCTATACTTCTCGCTTCTCAGCAAAGACATCTATTTAACTGCGGAATTTCGTTTACCGCACAACACGCACATAAAGAGCATAGGTCGTTTGGCCACATGACTCAAAGTACTGGACTTGCTCTTCCGAAAAGCACAACTCCACTGAACTAAGACGTTGAATGTTTTCTGTGCGCTCGTTGTTCACTCGCTAGCTCGGAGGAAGGATAAAGGAAGGAGGGAGGATTACTTCACCTGGTTGAAGCCCACCGTGTCTCGGCCCCCCACGTGATCAAAACATTAGACAGTGTGCTATGGGTTTTAGTAGTACTTGTGGCGTTCTGTTTTCGAACCTTGAGGCTGCCGGTCTACACTGAACGCTTCGATCAAAAGCTAACGTGTACAGCACTCAGAACTCTCGAAGAATCTCATTTTTTGCGGTATGTTGACGTAAAAGGTCACGTGTTGGGCCGAGACTGCTGGCTTCAAAATGGGCTGGCTGGCCAAGGCTGGCTTCGTGACGTAATGCTGCCTCCTCTCTTTTAATTTCCTCTATGCTCGCTAGTGACGGCAACGCCATATGTACACCATGTGAAGCCGCACGTCTTATTTTAGCTTCATATGGTTCTTATGTAGTTTTTGTCTGTACACCATTTCACACCGTATGTTATCTCTTGTAGTCGCCACAAATTTAGTCAGAAGCCGCCTGGCAAGGTGGCTTTTTCGCATTATTTATCATATTGCCGTGAATACATCTTTAAGGACAGAACGTTCGGTCGCGGGATGTGATGTCCACGATGTCGACTATAGTTCGAATTAATTCAACTGCCTCACTCACTCGCATGTTGTCAGTATTGGGGAATGTTGTCTGACGTTGGCTCGTACTGGCTACTGTCACCCAATATGGGATGTCCGCTGTAATGACAGCTACATTGTCTTCACTACATTTCGTTTTAATAATTGAGCTGTGCTACCAGTATGCTTTCTCTAACTGTAACTTCCTTGAAAAGTACAAGTGCATTAGGCGCCAAAGGCTGTTAGCTCTATGGGTCGTCATTTGATAAGGCATTTTTCACCCTATTCCAAACCTTTTTAACATGAGTCTTGCTACTCTCCAGAGACGATGCGACTTTTCTTCTCAGAAATATTTTGCATAATTATGCAAAAAACCTTCGTTTTTCTTCACAAGGTCACATTTCACTTTCAGTTCTCTCTCGAATTCTCGACAATATCACGCCATAAACGTTGTTCCGTATAGTTTTCGTTCAGGAATGTTCTCGTACAACTTGCTCTTCCCATACGATATTGTGCTCGAATGCTTTGCGCGGAAATTTGCCGAAATGACCTTTGGATTAATTTTCACTGCTATAATAATGTCCGCGTGAAACTTATTACATTGTTTCTAATCCTGACAAAGTTACATGTGTAATTTTAGTATATGAAAATAAAGTATAAAATAAAAATAACACATCGCGTGATGCGGGCTTCACGAAAGGGCTCAGCTTGCGTGCAATCCTGACCCAGCTAAGCATCCACACAGGAATAAAAATTTTCACTCAACTGTCGCGTACCGTGACGGGACATGCAATTGACATAACACGAATGTATGCTTCTGAACTATACACGTACTTTCATGCTGTATCACACCATTACTTATATTGTAGAGTTAGCTACCACGGCCGAGGTTGTGCAGTTTCGCGTGGCTTATCGAGAGTCGTGCCGCGCATGCTCAATGAGCAGTGACGTCACGCCACGCAGAGCTGGCGCGCAAGAGACGGCCAGAACATGGAGTTTCCCAAAATTAGGTAGAGCGCACTCTGGCGCTGCGATCGTTCAGCGACCATGGGAATGATGGGTAGTACACACATTTGCCTAGTCTTCGTACTTGCGGGCGGTGAATCGTACTGGCGGCTTCGTTTATTGACAGTTATGGTTTTGTTTTGAAAGAAAAAACAAACCCTTTTCAACTTAGTGACTTGATTCAATATGGTAAGCCTAAAAGAATAAGGTTGTGAAGCGCAAACGGTGAACATTTGCTAATTTATGTTTTCATGAAAAAACAGTTTCATGCCACACGAATGCACACGGAGCCAGAAGCAGGCCAGAAGTACGAAAATTAGACAAATGTGTGTACTACCCATCATTCCCATGCTCCCTGAAGCGCAGTGTGTTGCAGCTTCCATAGACACTAGTGCCAGAGTTCCCGCTAGTACGTATTGTGGGAACCTCTATGGGCCAGAAGACTGGAAGTTGTGGAGTGACGTGTCACTAGAGGGCAGGCGCTTGACTCGCGTGAGCTCGCTCGCTTTCGTACGTTCATTTGTCTGTCTGTCTGTCTGTCTGTCTGTCTGTCTGTCTGTCTGTCTGTCTGTCTGTCTGTCTGTCTGTCTGTCTGTCTGTCTGTCTGTCTGTCTGTCTGTCTGTCTGTCCGTCCGTCCGTCCGTCCGTCCGTCCGTCCGTCCATCCGCCTGCAGCTCACGCAACGTATATCCTAGCATAGCCGAGCTATGTCCATGCTAATATTTACTCGATATGTACACATGTAGTGCTCGTTCTGTTTTCAATAGTCCGCTGACGTTTCTGCATTTTTTTTTCTCTTTATTTTCAGTTCCGCTCCATCAAAGCTACGGTTGAGCATCACCACAGCGCTGGCATCCATATTGTTTACCTTCAGAGGTCTAATTACGTCTCTGAAATGACGCCATCAGATTGTTTTCGCGCTCAGTTAAATTCCCCACATATGCTGGCGAGTTCGTGAACTTAGTAATCTTCCGAACGCTTATAAAATGACGTCAATAAATGATGACTCGCAAACAATGGTCTCCAGCGTTCCACCATTGTCGACTGAACACACATACAGACGCACACGCATGCACACACCCGCACAAAACACCAACACACAAAATTGGTGCCTGGTGGCTGATTCTTCTGCATAGTGCACTCGGAACCAAGTGCCAGTGACAATCTCGACTATTAAGCCGTTTCAATCAGGGCGAAAATCCAGTCTCTCAGCGCTAAGCTCAGCCAGTAAGTGGCACTGCTGTGCTGATTGCGTGTGGCTGTTCCGAGGAGGAAAACGGTAAAATAAGAATAAGTCAACTCGTCAAGTGAAGAAATAAAGAGTGATGGTCCTGTGAAAAAGTTTGCGGGGAAAGAAGAGGCCAGGTAAAATTTCAAGCCTTAGGTTAATTAAAATTCAGGTGGCGCACGAGCGGTAGTGAAAATAGTATGTGCGAGTAGACATGAGCTGACATTTATTCAAGCAATGCTGAATTTGAGTAAGTAGAGTCTGCAAGAAAAGCTGGAGCTCACACGGGCTCACTCAAGAAATATATTTTGGGCTTAGGGCTCACTTGCGCATGGCATCCATTCCCTGCCCAGCATAAACAAGCTCACTAGTTTGAGCAAATCACATTCTTATTCTTTTTTTATCTCTCTATTTTTTGATACCGTGGTGCTGAAGCCAACCAGCGAGAACACATTGTACAGAGTCCAATGAAGTTCTGAATGAATCAATAAGTAAATCAACAAACTAATCAAATCAGCCAATAGCCGTGAATTGAGCTATGTACTCGAAGGTAAAAAAAAAACAAAAACAAGGACGCATAAAGAACGAATAGAGAGAGGCGCGGACAGTATATACAGTATATGGCGCGGCCGTATATACTGGTAATGACATCATAAATTTGTCGTGAAAAGAGGAAGCGATTGCTATCTAGCTAAATTCGAGAATTAAATCTAACTTCGCGACCACGCGCGGCTCGATCTATTTATAGTGTTTGGCTCGTGTGTACTCAGGAGCCTCGACTGCCGATTCGCAGTGTCTTTTGACCATGTTCAAAAAGCGTTGCAGGGCTTCTTTAAAGGGACACTATATAAAGAGAAAAACGATTTATTTTTTTGCGCATTAGTAAATTATTTTTCCACAATCCCAAAAACGGCATTCCGTGATTTAAAAAAAAATGTGGCTGAAGACGCCACCTGGAGAATCCCACACCAAACACCGCGTGACGTACGTCATAGATTTTGAAGGCTTCTGTTAGTTCCTGAGTAGTTTTTAATCTGCAAAACTGAAGTGCGTTGCCATCTGTGGGGGCCGAAGACCTAACACACGAAGTTTCAGAAAGTTTCACCGAGTCAACGTCACGAAAATGCGGAAAATACACTTTGAATTTTTTGACATCGCGTGTGGCCATTTCCGCTCGACATTTGAAAACCAAACTTCGACCTTGATTCTTCCCTTCTAATAATGAAATTATGATGGTGAAACTTATAAATAAAGAAATTGTTTCACTTTAGTGCCCTTTTAATGAGTATGAGTCCGAGTGAGCTCCACATTGCCTTGTCGACCTGTGGTAATGTGTTACAGACTTAATGTTACAGACATGTGACCCACTTGAAGAAGAGGCTGACAGAAATTGCCAACTTATTCAAGTACCTTGGAGGAAAAACCTGGGAGACTTCAGTACATGCAATGATGCAATTGTACAAGACGCTTTTTCTTGGCTATTTGTGCTACAGTTTGCCTTTGTTGACCAATGCCAGTAGAACCAGCATTCGGACTCTCAAAAGCATCCAGGCTATGGCTCTGCGAGTTTGTCTGGGGCTACCGCGATGTTCTTCAACAGCTGAGACAATCGAGATCGCTAATGACTACCCGCTCAAGACGCATATCATAATGGAAGTACTCGGAGCACACGTGAGGCATCTTACTCGTGCCCCTGCCCATCATCTAGCTTCACTGCCAGAAGACTGACCTCATGCCTCATTTTGCCAGACAGTCTTGTCATATCGCACACGCATTCCTACGGGATATACAACTCCATCCAGTATTTCAACGCCCTCATGGAGTATGACTTATGCACATGTTCAATTCATGGTTCCAGGCATAGGGTCAAAAGCCCGGCTCTCGTCTCCAGCGCTAAAGCAGCTTTCTCTTATCTTGTTATATGAGAAGTACAGTGAGCATACTCATCTATATACTGACGCTTCAACTAAAGTGGATGGGTCTGCAGGGTCGGTGATCTTTCCTGCAACAGCAACAACGGTGAAGTTTCGGTTATCCCACCAGACATCGTCGACAGCTGCGGAACTTGCTGCTCTACGTAGCGCAATTCAAGTCATTGAACACCAAGAAGCCAAGAAATGGAGCGTGTTCACGGACTCTAAGGCAGCACTACAGCGTTTGATATTCGCCTTACGCCGGGGACCTCATGAACAACTAGTGCTGGAAATTAGAGAGCTGCTTCACCACCTCTTCGACGAAGGACACAGAATCACGTTTCAGTGGCTTCCAAGTCACTGCGGCATATTGGGCAACCAACATGCCGATGCAGCTGCCCGATCAGCACAAGAAGATGGTGAAAAATAATCTATACCATTTTCAAGGACTGATGCTGCAATGCTGCAATGACAATCCGAAAAATCGCTAATGCAGAATTGATTGATTGATATGTGGGGTTTAACGTCCCAAAACCACTATATGATTATGAGACGCCGTAGTGGAGGGCTCCGGAAATTTAGACCACCTGGGGTTCTTTAACGTGCACCCAAATCTGAGCACACGGGCCTACAACATTTCTGCCTCCATCGGAAATGCAGCCACCGCAGCCGGGATTCGAACCCGCGCCCTGCGGGTCAGCAGCCGAGTACCTTAGCCACTATACCACCGCGGCGGGGCCTAATGCAGAATTAAAATCCCTGTGGAACGCCGAGTGCTTACGGCACACGCGACTGCATAGACTGGACACGTCTCGTCGACTCCGGCCTCCGTCTGGACTCTCGACTCGAGACAACGGTGCTTTGCCGACTATGGCTTGGTGTCGCCTTCACCAAAGCTTTTGCCTTCCGAATCGGCATGGAAGACAGTGCTGCTTGCGGTCATTGCGGCAGCGATGAAACTATAGAGCACGTTCTCTGTCACTGCCTTAGTTACAGCGTGCAAAGACGGCAACTAGCTGCTGCGTTAGCTCGCCTAGACGACAGACGTTTGTCTGAACAATCAGTGCTCGAAAGGTGACATGATTTGTGTGCTCACAGAAAATCAGTGAAGGCCTTACTGAACTTTTTGCGTGGCAGTGGCCTATTGTATAGACTATAGCACCCCCGCCCCCCCCCCCTTTTTTTTAGGGGCGAAGCTCCTTATGGCGTGGCTTGTGCGTCTCTCGTAGTACGTGACCGCCAGTGGCACCTACCCGAAATAGGTATAACATTTGACCTCCAAGGTGGTGCCGGTGAGAGATTTCTTCTGTGCGTTGTTTAACAATAAAAAATAGTGCTCAATGTACATGCCAATGGCTGCTAATGGGGAATGAGAAACAGGAGCATTCGGCTTTTAGTCAACGCGCACGCTGCGATCCCCATTAGCAGCCATTGGCATGTACATTGAGCACTATCGGACAAGAAAGGGTTGCTACATTATACTCGCTGGGTGTAACCTCCTTAGTTTTCTATTAGAAATGTTTAGCGAGCGTTGAGCCGCAGGGCCATGAATACAATGAACTAGTATATACCATGAATGAATTCGAGGTGGTTAAAGGGGGGAAGGAGATACGAAGCGCAAGCCGTAAGAAATTAAAAGCTGAATCCTCCTGTCTCTCATTTCACATTAGCAGCCACTGGCATGTACATTGAGCACTATCTGACAGGAAAAGGTTGCTACGTTATACTCGCTGGGCGTAACCTCCTTCGTTTTAGAAAGGTTTAGCGAGCATTGGGCCGCAGTGCCATGAATACAGTGAACTAGTATATACCATGAATGAATTCGAGGTGGTTAAAGGGGGGAAGGAGATACGAAGCGCAAGCCGTAAGAAATTAAAAGCTGAATCCTCCTGTCTCTCATTTCACATTAGCAGCCATTGGCATGTACATTGAGCACTATCTGACAGGAAAAGGTTGCTACGTTATACTCGCTGGGCGTAGCCTCCTTCGTTTTAGAAAGGTTTAGCGAGCATTGGGCCGCAGTGCCATGAATACAGTGAACTAGTATATACCATGAACTCAAGGTGGTTGAAGGTGGGAAGTAGACCCGAAGCGCAAGCCGTAAGAAATTGTGCGTGTGTTACCTCTCGTTTAGTCCTTGGAATGTCCACTGAATGGTGGTGCTTCTATATGGGGAATATATGATAAATAGATGCGAGATGGTGGGACTTGGAGTGTTGAATAGATGGACGAACGGACACACAGACAGATGCATGGATGGACGCATGAACGGACGCAGGGGCGGATGTATGAACGGACGCAGGGACGGGCGCACGAACAGACGCATGGACGGTCACACAGACGGACGCATGGACGGATGAATGCTTCGCCCCACTCTCCATCATTCACTCCGTGGATATGCTGCCATTTTTTTTTCGCGCGTCTATTTCCCTCTTCACTTTCTTTCCCATCTTTCTTCCCCCTTCCCCTAGTGCAGGGTAGCAAACCGGTTGCTCCATTTTCTGGTTAACCTCCCGGACCTCCCCTCATTCTATTCTCTCTCTCTCTCTCTCTCTCTAGACGTACGCAGGGTCCGTCAATAACGGGGGCGGAGGAGGGGGTGCAGTTTCGCCATATTGCCGCCCCTCGAGCTTTCAGTTCCCTGGAAAACAGGCTTCGCACTGGATATGCAAAGAAAAAAAAAAACACGCCAGGTCTGCGCGGAAAGCCCAGCATAATCACAGCTAAGGCTGCAAAAGCAGCCTTCCTGGAACTAGTTATATAAACTCTCTCGGGGCTACTAACACAAGTACGCTTGCAAGGTGTACCATTGTCAAGTTTGTCAAGTTGGTAAACACCCACTAAGCCATTATTCGATATTCTGAGGATAAGAGAGGTGGATAAAAGAGAATTTTGGTTGAGGCCCGTGTAATGCCTTGGTAACGTTCAAGGACCCACTTAATTTGTTGCGTGATTCGTACTGTGTGACGCCTGGTTGTTATTTTACTGTTCTACCACTCTATATTACAAATGGCAACGCGGTTCCTTCGTGACATAACGCCTTTATGCAATAGAGTTTCAAGTCCCGGCACGGCTCTGTGGTAGAATGCTCGGGTATTAGCAATAGGGAATGAGGACGGATCACCATTTTACACAAATTGTTCCCATCAGATTTACACGACAGTCTGGAATACAAACTCAGCCTAATAAGAATAGTCCTAATTTATTATTTTACGTAGCACATCATTTTATTTTTTTATTTTTTTATATCACCTGCCATTCATATCACGTGCCATAAATTGAAAAAATAAACAAACAAACAAACGAACGAACAAACAAGACTGTCTTGTAAAGTATAGGGCGCTCTCGAATGGCTGGATTTTACTCAGCCAGCAGACCCGCAAGACAGCCCCGCCGCGGTGGTCTAGTGGCTAAGGTACTCGGCTGCTGACCCGCTGGTCGCGGGTTCGATTCCCGGCTGCGGCGGCCACATTTCCGATGGAGGCGGAAATGTTGTAGGCCCGTGTGCTCAGATTTGGGTGCACGTTAAAGAACCCCAGGTGGTCGAAATTTCCGGAGTCCTCCACTACGGCGTCTCTCATAATCATATGGTGGTTTTGGGACGTTAAACCCCACAAATCAATCAAATCAGACACGCAAGACAGTATTTTAAAGAAAGTGTAGCCAGGTTTATCGCGTTAGAAAGAACAAATAAAAGTGTTCCAGAAACAGGTTCTATAAACCTTGATGCATACGATCTACTGTACTCCTGACCTGCCCAGATAGCCCCTCTCCAGCGCCCACCTCTAGTTTGTATTTTCTGCCGCTATGGCCATAACCTACGAGCGGCGTGGCGCTAGCCAGCACCTCTTCGCTGACGTCACTTTCAGCGTTTGTGGTCATATTTCGGCCAACAGAGCACTTATAGTGCGTAATTATTATGCACAAATAAAACATAGTTTGTAAATAAACACACTAAAAGTCGTCAAGAGTTAGTTTGCAATTAAATTGACGCGACACCACGTCGGCTTCCCTACACTATGCAAGTCTACAGGTTCCCACGTTTGTCAACCAGTGTGCAAAAAGTACTTAACCGCACTGAAGAACTTACTTGACCAGCCATCTAAGTGAAGAAATAGTCCCATATATGTCAGCAGTTTATCACAGAATACAGGCATTCTTTCTCCAGCGCAGTCTAAACAACCGTAGAGTAGCAGGCGAGCAGGTCATAGGTAGCGCCACCAGCGGTGAGCGATTGAACGAAAGTGGGGACACGCACTGTGTTCACTGACGCTCTTACCGCCGTCTGGGCAGGCCAGGAGTACAGTAGGTCGTGTTTTAGGTCACTCTAATCAGAGGGCCTGTAGACAGGACCACCAACAGCAAAGCAGCAGCAAATCCGGCTAACCGGAGGCCGATGAGACGTCATCGCGTCGTCGCACTCGGCGAAGTTATGTTCGCTTTGAACGATTCAAACGAAGCGCCTAATCGAAAAGGTGCATGACGTCATTTCTGTGCAGCGCAGCAGCTAATTTTGCGTGGAGGTGACTCGTGCCATAGAGTTTTCATTAATTTTAGAAAACTTTATGGTTCGTGCAGCGAGCTGCAATCGCTCTGAACTTTGTGGTTTTTCAAAGTCATGCCGTGTAGTTTCATTACTTGAAGCTAGATAACGCAGACCACCACACAAATACAAGCCAACGTGTGGGCACAATAAACACTCGTTCTCAACACCACAGCCACATTGCCACAGAAACCAGCCAAGACGCAAGTTGCAGGCGTCTGTCTCGTCTGTCTGCTCTCTTGCTTTTTTTGTCGTCGCTATTCGTGTTCGTTTCTATCTTGCTTCTGCGATTTCCGCATCGCACAGTATGTTGCCCGCGAACCCTCAAGCGAGGCGAAGCCGCCTCAAAATTTTCAACGCCGTGGTCTGCGTCGTGGGTATTCTGGTTTCGGTGTACGCGTACATAGTCGAAACGCGTGCCGAGGAAGACCCCAACTACGCGCCGATGTGTGATCTCAGCCCGAACGTCAGCTGCACCAAGGCGTTCAATTCAGCGTAAGTGTTCGCGATGCGCAATTTCCTTGTTCCGTGTTGAATGTTTTCGTGTCCTTCGAAGCTTATGATTGGCACCTTTGATGACCGTGAAACTTCATGTTTCGTCGTTTGGCTTTTGGGATGCCGGAATTCCTTGATTTGATTGGATCGATTTCATTGATTGATTGACTTGCTTGACTTGAGCATAGCGAGTTCCTTCCGCACCTGTACGTGTAATTGCCAAATGGTGATGGTGCGTCGTCCTGCTTTTCTGACGTTTACAAAAATCGATTGACTGATTTATTGATTGATTTGAATCTTTTCAATATCTTTTTGCGCCTCATAGGGACCCGTAACTTGCACAGCGTCGGGCGTAAAACTTGACGGCGAGTTTCGTAGCTTTAGGATTGATTGATTGATCTATCAATCGATCGATCGAAGCACTCGTGCTGCGGAATCAGGTCACGGAGTATACTCTTTCACGCACACCTAACTTGAAGTACATGATCGAGCTGGCGTACTTGCGTTTTGAAAGCGCGCAGCTCCACCGCTACCGAAACCGTGTCCGCGACCTCACTTGAAACCAAACGAGCTCGCGGTAGATTACGCTAGAGTCGCTCTGTTGATTGAATGGCGCCAAGAACAGTGGAAGCAAAATAAATTCACTAAGAACGGTGATATGCGACGCACCTATCAAGCGATACCTCGCGATTAGAGCAGTAACCTATCATTTATAGATACAATGTGGTCATTCACTTTATCTCTCTCTTTCTCGCTCAGGTACGGTAAAGGAATGGGACTTCTCCAACATGTTGTTGGTTCCGAATCTGTACTCGTTCAGCCGAACAGCGTCTACGGAATCATATTCTACGTCATCGTCTTAATCTGTGGTAAGAAACAAAAAAAAAGTATTGCAATAGATAACTTCGTATTGTTTTTTTTTCGTTCGTTCTTTGTCACTATATCAAAGGGCTAGTACGTTTTCATACAAGTCGCAAGTTTCGCAGCATCACGCAGTAAGCATGTAAGCATGCACTATGTCCTCAGTTCTACTTGAGTTATCAGTCCTTGCACGACCTATTGGCGTACTTGACAAGACACGAGTTTTGCTTTGAAGGTAGAGGTTTGCAAATATTCAATTTTTTTGGGGATGTTCATACACCCCTGGTAGTTTGTGATGTTCAGTTTGTATTCGGTTTCTCAATTAGTAAATTATTCTTTTTTTCAAAATGTACACAGCCAGAATAACAAAACTTACTTTTCTACTTGCTTGCTGTATGGTGAACATGAGTGTTTAGATTTTATGATTTGCCCCCAGTATAGCTGCGAATGTTGTTCATCTGGGGCAGTAGTTCCATTTGTTTATATAAATAATAATGCCTTCATTTAAATAATTTGCTGCTAGCCAGTAAAATCGGCATATAAGTTACTTGCCACATCTTTTTTTAACCATGCTGCAGCATTCTCTACATGCTTTATTCCCACTTATTTGCAGGCGTGTTTGACGGAAACCGCTGGGACAAGTTGCATCTCGCTCTCTGCATACTGTCCAACATCACATCAGTCTACCTTGCCTACATCCTTTACTTTATACTCTACGACCTCTGCGTGGTTTGTGTGACGACGTACGTGTGCAATGCCCTGCTTCTCATCGGCAGCTGGTATCGTCCGAGTGCGGTCGTTGCAAAACCGAAAGTGTCGTAACTCAAACTTCTGCGACTGTGATGCATGCACCCATTGGCTGCTGACCAGTCTGATAAAGCAAAAATGTTCAATTACATTGTGACTGTATAACTTTGCTGCTTATGTACAAATGTGACAGCGATGATGTACTCCTACCTAGAAAGCTTTACGATTTTACGCCGATCTCGTATTACCTCTTTTTCTTGTTATTTGTGTTCAAGATGAGACATATAAAGGATTTGCACTGTATCTGCCATCCGATTCTTAGAAAGAACTACTTCATGGTTAACTGCTTACACAGCCTACCTTGTTTTGTCTGTTGTGACACATATGTCGCCAAAGTTCTTATCATTGCAGACTTTCATTTTTATTAAAGGGGCCCTGCAACACTTTCTGAGCATGGTCATAAAACGCTGCCGATCAGTAGTAGAGGCTTTCGACAACACGCGAGCCAAATATTATAGCACAGCATGCGGCCTGGAATTCACAATAAATTGTCAGTCAGCTAAAAATAGATTTCTCTTCTCTTGACAAATCACAGAAAATAAGCCCAGTAAGCCGATATATCAGCCAATGGCCGATTTGAACATGGCGCGCTCGGTTGTTACAGAGGTCGCCGCGAGAGGCCGTCACTTGTCCACGGGTGCGCGCACGATTGCACTGAAAAAAGCCCGTATTCGAAGAAAAAGAAAAGAAAAAAATGCTCAGGGTCACGAGGCGCGAGTGACGTTTTTTGCTTGCCCCTCCCATCTCTCCTTGCTCAGCTTCCAGTGCTTTCGTCGGGACGAGAGAAGAGAGAATGTGATTGCAGCGTGTGACAAACTTTTGTAACTCCGCTCGCACTGGAGGGATTCTTAAAATTTTTGCGGCGTTCAATTTGTGAGGAATACGCTTTTCCAGTGAATTAATTCCATGGTTACTCAAAAAAGTGTTTAGGGCCCTTTTAAGGGGAGAGACCCACTGCATGAGAAGTGTAAAGTGACTAAAGAGCCATGAACAAGTACTACTGCTGCTTTGCTGGATGTAACTGGATGAAAAAAAAAAATGGGGCATTGGCAGTGTGGCATACCTTTTATTAATGCTGGAAAGGCCTGCTGATTGGACTGTGGCAACTGCATATGGACGCATCATATACGTGCTGTCTGTAGCTTAGTTAGGCACAACTGGCAGATGTCACCCTTTGTCTAGTCTTGCAAAAAAAAAAAAAAAAAAGACATGCGCACAAAGTATCTGTGATGCATTAAGACAGTCTGGTCTAGGCAAATTGGAAATTTGTCAAGACAAGATGTGAAGCTACGGTGATGTGCTCAGTTCTGAGCTCATTCAGCGTTCAGTTCATCCTTACTAGATAACGCCATCGAGTTTGAACATTTGCTATGTTGCTGGACCGAACAGATTACACGGCGAGATATTATGTGCACATTTTGCTTTGAATGTTTCTGGGTACTTCAAGTGAAACTTGGTACCTTATATGGGGTTTCCATCACTTGGTTATTAACTGCGTTCCACATAGCGTGTGCTCTCCGTCCAGATGAAATACAAACTCGAGAGAATCAAGAAGGCATATTTCCTCTTTGACAAATGTGATTAGTTTGTAGAAAATTGGTTCTTGGTCTAGAGTACACTTAGTTCCTGGCACAACAGGTCTAAAGATCGCTTTCATACCGTGTATCCTTAATATGACTCTGATGCATTACTATTTATGATATACAGTGAAATAGTAAATCTACAACAGTACTTGCCCATATCAGTATGTAACAAAACTAAACTGATGCATGCTTGCAATGAACACTGGCTCTACAAACCTACAGTAAACTCTCAATTAATAGAAATCTCTTAAATGGAATTGCTGGATAGCCCTACCGTGGTGGTCTAGTGGCCAAGATACTCTGCTGCTGACCTGCAGGTCACGAGATCGAATCCCGGCTACGGCAGCTGCATTTTCGATGAAGGCGAAAGTGCCGTAGGCCTGTGTCCTCAAATTTAGGTGCACGTTAAAAAATCCAAGGTGGTGGTCGAAATTTCTAGAGCCCTCCACTACGACATCTCATAATCATATGGTGGTTTTTGGATGTTAAACCCCACATATCAATCAAGGCACTGTTGCATAATAGAAACAACTGTTTCAATACCATTGATTTTGCACTTGAAGCCTGCTCCACTGTTCATCTCTCATTGAATGAAACCGGTTAAACAGTATTATCATGTTGAATGAATTTTTATATAAACATAGGATGTTTGAAGAAGTCATTTAAATCTATTATTATTATTATTATTATTATTATTATTATTATTAACAATATTGTGTTTGAGTGAAACCACAGTACAAATTTTCAGACGGCTTCCTTTATAGTTGAAGCTTTACCTGGAGTAAGGTCCACTTTTTTATTTTTGTAGTACTTTTTGAGGTGTCATTTTAATGTTGGCCAATGTTATGCATTGTAGCACTTCATCTGATCTAGGCATGTACGAGGCAGCTAGGAATTTGACCTAAGCTTGTATGTACGACTTGAAGGCTGCGTACAGCCTGCGTGTCAAAATACATTGGGAGCAGAAGCCTTCATCATGCTATTTGGTCCTTCGCTTCTGGGACATAAAAGAAGAACCTCCATTCATTTCACTGGCATTTCTGAATCGATATCACTATAGCTTTTGGAGGACAGCGTTATAGCATTTGTGACACGATAGCATTTGAAGTGTTATAGTAAATGAAACTAAAATTGTGGTGCATGGTACTCCTTTGCTTTTGAATATTTGCATCGAGCTGATTACGCAATGCTCACTTTATTGATGCTGCTGTAATGTGAGGGTATGGATGTGTGCTTCGAGTAAGCTCAAATCCATCAATGTGGAACGTTAAACACAATGTGCGAAGTTGTAGTCACAAGAGCAATTTACGCTGGCTAATCTCTGAAAAGTATACATACTGCACAATGTTTTTTTTTGTTACTAACAGGTCACTATTTTGCCTTGAACACTGAACTGGGGTTATGTGATGTGCTTGAGGTTAGATAATTCATTTACTGAGCAGTGCTGCGCATTGCACAAGCGTGTCTATTGTGCTGTTCAGGTACAGTGTTTTTGTAATACATTAATAGAAACATATACTATTTACTGCTTAATTTAGTATATAAAATATACATGTAGTACTTCCCATGAATGTCTGTACTCAGAAGTCATATGATATAAAGATGTCTGAAATATATATACTTTTTTTTGGAGATCATTTCTCTCTATGTATGTTGTCCTCTCCTTCTACGGAACCTGTAGAAGACACAAGACCTATTGCAGCAGTTCAGACACATTAGATACATTGTGACAGCTAAGATTTCAAAGGCAATAGCATTCTTCTTGTTACCAAATTTCTTACAAGACATATTTTATGCCATTAACGTTTGCACAGTAGGTTGTTGCTAAGTGCTTACCTTACTTCATTCAGTTTACATTTTTGCAATATTTTATGAGAAAATTTTCAACTCTAATTACTTTATTTTACAAGCATGGAGTGAAGTGAGATTTACATTTCTCATTTACGGTATAAAATAATTTTACTTGTTACCTTCTTTATCTAAGAAACGTGTGATCCTTCAGTGCATTGTTTTTTTTTCCTTTCCCTTCAAGCAGAATGTTTCCAACAGTGTAGGTTAGGTCAGCTGTTCTGAAAGTGTGTGTACAAATTGTGAAAACGTTCTACTACACTCAAAGAACAAAGTACGACTGGGCTTGTGCAATTACACTGTGGGCCAGATTACATAAAAGAAAATTGGAGCAAATGACATCGCAAAGATAAAGCAGAACTTTATCATCTTGTTCAAGAATAGGAGAAGTGTGCTGCAGGCACGCTTCAGTAAAACACAACTGCAACATGCCGCATCTAGTTATCTACACCACCGCTCTCCACTACTTGATGCTTCATCGTAGTTGATCCCTGGAAGTGGTGCAATGCAACTGGCAGCAGAGCAAAGTGAAAAGGATGCACTTGCGTAAAACATTTGCTTTGTTTTACTTGCCTTCTAGCTGTTTTCGACACTGCATGTATTTAGTAGGAGAATCCTGACCACATGTGGCCAACCTTATTTTATGTGCCCATCTAATTTTTCAAAATGGTTGATTGGGCAAGTTGGCAATTCATGATGCTTTGAAATATAAGCGTGATACGTGGACTGGCATAGAAAGGGACAGGAAAGACACGGACAAGTGGGTTCTACCGACTGAAAGTTTAATCAAAAAGCTGTGAAATAGATACTGACAGATGAAACATTACGTAAGGACATATGGTAAGACCACACCGCAAACAAAACAGAACCGATAGTAAACAAACAGAACGATAATAAGTGCTTGTCCACGTCTTTCCTGTCCCTGTCTGCGTATTGCGCACATATTTCAATGTCGATGTAATGTCCCGAGGTTACTATAAATACTTCACTCTTTCTGGGAATCTGCAATTCTTTAGCGTCTGCATTGAACACTGCTATGCAAGTCCAGTATAAATATTCCAGGGTTTTTATGTACCATAACGTCACCTTCGTTGTGACACACACTATAGTGGGGGAGTCCTTCATCGTCGTTGATACAAGATTGCTTAACGCACACCTTAATGTATGGATGTCTGTGCATTTTGCCCCTCCCGAAATGCAGCTGCAATGTTTAGGAATCAAACCATAGCTTTTGTGGTTAGTAGTGTACTGCCATAGCAACCATGTCATTGCGGCAGGTACAGCACAGCACAGAAACACTAAATGGGCAGGAGAGGGCATCTGTACCACCGTGTATCTAATACGGTTCCTGTGATTTGTCATACTAAACTACCAACAAGCCGAACTTTCTTATCCTTTTGTAATGTTGCCCAGCTCCTAACTTGCAGTCTATAATTCAACACTACTGGCTATGAGAAGCTACTACTTTTAAAGTTCAAAGCTTGCACACCACGCAGAAGAAGTACCAAAGGAAGTGCTTTTGAGTGACCGTTTATTTCTCTCAAGCAGGATACTAAATGTAAGTGACAATGCTGATGGCTTTGCAGCAGTCCTGAAATGATTTCTCTGCATTTAACAGAAATGCTATATCCCGAGTTTCTGTTTTTTCTTCTTGCCTTTAAGCAATGATGGTAAAGGCCCAGTGAACTTGAAGGCGGTTCTGTAAGAGAGTCAAGCGAAATAATTGAGCATTCCTAAAGCAGCAGTGCAACGTGTCAACCAGGAAGAGTTCTTAACAGCAGAGAGTTCTTAAGAGCAGAAAACTGGAAAATATCTAGACCACCAATAAGTTTGCATGCCACAATTGAGGTTATGGCCCTTGAATAGGCACATGACCAAAGCGAGTAGAGAAGTGCTAATAGAGGGGTCCTGCAACACAAATTAAGTGTGTCGCTTTCATCACTATTTCTGGAACTGTAGAATGCACCGGTATCATTGTGGGGTGGCAACGCAAAAAACAACACTGCTATAATTCTCTTTCAGCGAGAAACCTGATTAGTTTGGCACAAGAACGACCCACAACGGCTTTTTTTTTTTAGATGGGAAGACGTTTCATCCCAAGGGAGTGACAACATAGGCCGAGCATTTGGATTTGTATGACGTGACAAGTTGCATGTAATACCCATATGGTACCAGCTACGTCATGCCATTGTGTGCTAAAACATATAAAAGAATTACTTATACTTCCTCAGATACAAAACGATTTCTGTTTCTCAATATGAGATTTTGAAAACGATTAGAAAATGAGACTATGGGCACTGGACAACTTCCACCATCAAACGAGTCTTCCGGTATGGCTCCATAAGAAGCGCGCTGTGATTGGAAACGGCCTTGATGTTCGTAGGAGAGTGAAATGCAAAAGAGAACGTTTTTTGGAGTTGTTCTGCTCAAGTTTTGAACTTTGAAGGCTAATGAAATCAGTATTCGTACACCAATTTTCATGATTCTTTTTGTGTTCATCTCGGAATTTATTACTACACATATTATAGCACTAAATAAGGCATTCGGAAAACCGTCGCAGAGCCCCTCTAAAGCAAGAAAAAATTGGATCACAGAAGAAAAGAAACTGCTAAGAGAATAAATTTTCCATTATATGAAGGCGAATTGTGCCTGAGTGTTCATCACTGTTTTTCTGACTATTAACACAGGGGCAAACTGTTTCAACGAGATTGTGTTAAAAAGCTGGCTTCACAGAAATTTCTATGTTAATGGCAGCGTCTGTGTTTGAGAGCGATAATTCGAAGTAGATTCAAATGAAGAAATAAAAAATATCCACCCACAGTGGGATCAGCGATTCGAACCTGTAAACCCTTGCTCTGAGCATGATGCGTTAAGCTCCTCGGTCACCATGCATTTATCTTCCAGCAAAGTCACGACGAGCTATTAATATACACCATTTAGCATTGGAGGTTCTTCAGGGGCCTTACTTAAATCTCAATAAGAACAGTCTGATTACACTGCTGCATTGTACTCTTGAAAGCAAAGCTCAACTGCCTTTAAGCTTTAACTTTAAAAGTCTGGCGGCAATATATTCAGGAGCATTTTTATCTAGAACTTGCCGAAATTGGATACACATTACAGTCCAGTAAATATAGTATTCCTGAAAGTGAGTAACCAAATACCACCCCAGGTTATGAAGGCAAGTTCAGCTTATCTCTCACATTGCTGACATGCAAAAATTTGGTATATTTAACTGTGCATGCTCTCGCAGTGCATTCAGAAATTAATACATGCAAAGTAAGTATGCTGCAAAGGCAAACTTCCTTGTATATAAAAGGCAATTAACCATCGGACACGAGAACAGGGGCAGTGGGAAGCCATCAATTGGCTGAGTGAGAATTCTACTTGGTTTAAAATGCTGTTTGTCGATGCCACAGCATCCAATGTACGTTAGACAAGTTTAGAAGTGTCTTCATTTGACCAAGTTACATGTCCAATATTGTGTAACTGCTTTTCATTTTTGGTTGCCATTTGCATTATTCAGTGCACACATTCGTTCTACTATGTACCCAGAAACAGCGTAGGGGATATCATTTATTTGTCACATTCTGTAGAACCCCAGCAGACGAAATACCGGGCGAAAAAAGTACAGGGGTGACGAAACTTTTTGGAGACCGAGGGAGTTTGATGAGAACAGCACCCCGGCGCCTTCTCATGGCCCCCAGAGAAGCTCGAGAGTGTGCACTGCACATCGTTTGTCTCCTTCATTCCAGATGTTCCACAGCAACGAAAACCACAGCGGCGAAAATACGATGTGCTTCGCCAAGATACAGCACTGCTTGGTAATCTTATGCATCAAAAAAAAAAAAAAAAAAAAAAACGATGAATAAGCATGCTTCCACCGCCGCGGGAAGTCTAGAACTAAGGCGCAAAAGCGGTGCTCACCGAGCACTGCCACTACAAGTTAGATATTTTTGTCACAACATCATCACTTGGTGCTTCTGCGGCGACTGCAAAAGCGACACCTTGCAATTTTTCTGGTGTTCCAGTGTGCACGCAGTTTAAGAGAGCGAAAGCGCAGCCTGGCAGGTAAAAAGGATGCACTCTCGAGCTTCTCTTATGGCCATGAAAAAGCGCCGCGGTGCTGTTCTCCATGTGTTCCCATGGTCTCAAAAATTTTTATCGTCATTGTGCAAGTGCAAAGCCTCCTTTAGCTATCTTTTACCGCAAAATGCTATTACAATGAACACAACAGCGGAGGTTCCTATAGTGCGTGCATGAGTTACAAGTGATGTTAAATAACAAGACAATATGTTCTATGTTAATTTTACAGATGTTTAACAGAAATCCTTCAAAAGCCGAACTCATGCAAATGAGTCACGAAAATTTTTAAGTTAAGCAAAATGCTACTTACTGACATGTAGAGCAGATGGGACTGAATGCACAAAAAACTGGAAGAAACGGCCGCATCATTACTGTTAGAAATGTTTCACTTGCAATACACATACACACCAAGTGCTTGCAACTATACAGTGAAAGATACCTAAACACCATTTTCTGCAGGTCTAAGCCACATGTTCACTATGCTTCACTTCGATTTAAAGTTGCCAAACCTTCAATAAATATGACAAGAAAGATTAAATAACCATATTCAATTCTATTACAAACACCATGTATATGGAATGGCGCATGAGACTGTCCTCACTTAAATGCGTTTTATTGTCAATGTTTTCTGCGGGATACCAAAAGCTGCCGAATCCAACAACCAATAAAAGAAGCCTAGGGATGGTTTTAGAAAATGGGGATCAGGGAACAGCACAGCAACATGCATCTCTACACTGAACTTGGAAAAAAGCGTCATTTTATTAGTAATCTTTGATGCACCTCTAGCTACCGAGCTTTGCAGTAACATGACTGAACTATGAAAGAACGCCACCAATAGACACGGCACGCTTTATATATGTAGCATCTGGTTGCATCTCAACTGAAATAAACTTTTCCTAATTCATCCCTCAAGTTTCAGACGCTCTACCTTAACAGCATACACACATATAGAGATACAATGCACTTCTGCAAAGTACACCATTATTTAATTAATTTTTATGCGACAATGTGCCTTTGCCTTGCTGTTGCAACAATCCTTTATTTAAGATATCCTAGCAGCACGACAAGCATCTGAAGCATAAACTTAAGTGGATATTTAAGGTGTGCTAATTGGTGTTCAATCATCTTAAAAGGTGCACTGAGTGAACAAAGGCACAGTGCAGACGTCAAGTGCTGCACTTTTTCGTTTTGCGCTGTGTCTGTGTTCACCTAGTGAGCCTCTTAAGTTGAGTACAGACAAAAGTTATTTCCTGAATATCAGCATTGAAAAATGCAGCTTGTCTTCTTCTTGAACTTCAGACCCTACTCACGGATTCAAATACCCCATCAAATTTTTTAATGTAAAAACTGGTATGCACAATTTCTTTAGATAACCACGTCATGCTGAGACAAATCTGGTCTCCAAAGTAACGTTGGCTCTGATCTATATGTTCAGAGCCAAAATTACTTAGATATGACCCATACTGATGATGGTGGAAGTGAGAGTATGAGTATTACTTAGACCTAATTTGTCCCATTTCAATCAGTGAGTACTGTACATGAGTCATCTCTCTGTTTGTGTACACCCTCCAGCAACCGTAAAACCATTGCTGGATTCCACTTTTTTTTTTGTTTTCAATAAAACAAGGTTTTACTGCGATGACAGGATTAGTAACTTCCAGAACAAAGATTGCTCTATGCAATGAAATATTCACTAGCCAGTAAGTAATCTTGCTCAGAGTGTAGTTAAGGTGAGCGTACGGGTAGTCACTGTCAAAACCTGTGTGGCGAGTTAAACAATGTTGGAGAATTGAAGTAGTAGTCTTAACATACAGGTTATTTTGGACATGTACACAAATACCCAAACTAAGCATCAGTGGATATTGTGCAAATAGACCTCTCCCTGTTTGTAAACAGTGTGACGTCACTGCGGGCACCCCGCCCCCTACACCCTCTCTCGAAGCAGGTGCTGGTTGGCAAGAAAGCTCCTTCGGCGGCATCTTTATGCATAGCAGAGCTGCGTTTCTGCATTCTTTCGACAGAATTTTATACAGTGCTATGTTCTAAAGTCACAGCTTTTGAAAGAAGGGGGTCGCGGAAGGGTCACTACTCATAGTGTGGGAATTTGCTCGTCGTAGTTGGATGGATGGAGAAACTTTGTTTAGAGTACTGAGAGATGCGACTAGGACGCAGTGGGCTTCACCTACGTAGATGGCAGCCATAAGAAAAGTCTGGTCTTTTTCGAAAGCGAATGTTTTGAATGTACACCATTACTGGCACTTTGAGAAATATTTGCATGGCATGGATGTAAACTAACTCAATTTCCACTTTGGCATGTGCAATGCAGTTTTAAACGAGGTTCAGCATTGGCGGCAGCATGCTTTTGAGCTGCTGTGCGCGACATCACGAATAAGATTCTCACTCATTACCCAAAAATCTCATTGGAGAATGAAAAAAAAAAAAAAAAAACACTTCTTGCCGTGGGTTAGGCTGAGGTTAACATATCTTCGTGAAAATCAAAGTGAAGTTCTGCCGCTGCGTTTCTCAATAACCAAGTGAAAATTTATGTGATGTAAAACTCGACATCCTAATATTATATAATATTATCTGGCACAGTTACCTTGCTGCGTTTGACACCTATAACGTGTGTTCATACCTATCGCTCCTTTAGTCTTGATACACAAAGTTCTAACGTGCATTGTCACTTCATAAGGATTGAGCCGTAAAAGTACAAAGTAGATAAGAAACCAAAATCTCCGCTGTTTCCATTAACACGTATCAGGTATCCGATATTACGAGTTATAGCCGTGGTGAAGCATATATGCAGATTCGGCAAAGCTACAACATGCTTATAGCTCATGTGCAGTTGTATATATCACCAGGAGATCATGCACTCTTATTTTTCTGCACGCCGCGCATACGCTGAGTTGTACCTACTCACAGATGATCGCGTCGAATGTATTTTTACCTTGACTACAATGTCAGATCGTAAAGTTCCATCAACAATCGGTTACCGAAACCGGCCCACAACAAATACCAGTGTTTTCGCCAACAGGACGCATCGCATTATTCACACTGCACACACCACGCACAATATTCCCAGTTTTACCATCCGTAAAGACGAACCAATATTGTCGATGTCTTTCAACGCACACTACACGCCACAGTTAGCACTGCACATTTTCGAAGAAGATGCCGCTGTTCCTCGCACAGGCCACCACGTGTGTTAGTTTCTCATAGATAAACAGCCTGCCAGCGTGGGGAATATTTCATCACGCACTTTATCACACACCAAGATGTTCTCTGACACATGCCACAGCTAATGTTGCCACTGTGAGATGAAGATTAAGCTTTCAAAACCAAAAAAAAATTGCCCCAAGTACCGAGCGACAGCACCAGCCTCAGCCACCGGCGGGAGTGTTTTGCCAACCACTGCCTTGCACGTGCACCGGTGACGTCACGCTGTGACGTACCCTGGTAGAGGTCTATTGTGCAAATGGAACAACTCTCCACAAATTTATGCTTATAAGTAGAGACAAAAACTTCAGGCACAAAAAAAAAGAATGTTTTAGGTGCCTTTATTAGGCCCTAAATACAGCCATTTAGGCATATATAGGCACAATTGATAATTACTTCAGTAGCGGACAAAAACTCAACTTCTAACAAACACAGCAGGCCAATTCTGTGATTTGGAAAAGCTAAGTTTATTTTCCATGGAAAGAATTACAAGAAGCATTATCATTTGACCAGATTTATGTAAAAGCTGAGGTAATTTGACATTGTAGGAAAGGCTATAAAAACATTCAAAAACCAGCATCATTTCAAGGTTTTTGGGCTTAAATTGTGCTTGCTTTGAGTCAGTATTTCCTTTTATGCGAAAAAAACGCTCAACGTCCCCTGAAGTTAGTGAAGTATATTTGTTGTTTAGCACTTTCAATGCTTTAATTGCATGTGGATTAATTGAATCAGCACCACTCGAAACTTTAGACACTTGCTTTAGCACATACAATCCGGGATTCTTTCCAATGCAGATTTAAACTTTGAGGCAACCCTGTCAACGACAGGTCTATTGGAGACGGGGCGAACCTTTTCTGCACGTCTGAAAAAACTATAGGTATCCTCAAGCTTTGCCTTTAAGCGTTGAACGCGATAGTGATATCCTGTCCCTGGTGCGTACTTCAACCACTTAGTGTATATTTTTTATTGCATGATGTTACTTGAGAAGTTTAAATTGTGGATTACTACACTGTGTAAGCGATAAAGCTGAGAATCGCTTGTGTCAGCAAAGCTTTCGCATATGGTTGCATTCTGTATAATGGGTGCATGCAAGTTCACAGATGCAGATATTAAAATAACAAAAATGAATCTGTGTGCCCGTGGAATGACCACAAAATACATGTTATTCGCACAGATTCTGGGTTAATTTAAATAAATTGGCAGTTCCGTACGCAATTTTGGGAGCTTTTATGTCTATGCGTGCTTTAGAGTGGACATCTAACTCAAAATATTTTTGACTTTTCCGATGTCTTCTTTCTTGCTTTCCACATGGACTGTTTCTTGATCGACGGAGTAGCGCTGTGATCCACTGATTCATTGCCTGACAAATACACTTTACGGGTTCGTTTTATTCCGCATTGCTTGGCAGACTGCCTACAGCTGCCGTCATAAAGAACATAAATGCCAACGAAACTTGCGTGCAGGCTGTAGGTGGCAGCGCTATCCTAGCTTTGTTTCAGCTGATTAGAGTACGTTCTAGCTACACTGTACTCTAGCCTCCAAACGCAACCACCGAGTCGCACTACTCTCGAACCCAGCGAGAGGGATCTTCAAGGCGCAGGGGACACACAAGCGTTAGCCTCTCCTCGCTTCCCTACAGTACACTGTATACCCACGGTCACGCAACGGCCATCCTGCACTACTCTCGAACCAAGCAACAGAAGTCTTTCAGGGGGGCCTGCTAGCGCTATAGATGCTAGCCTCGCTTTCCCTCGCTGTGGTACAAGCCCCGCTCACGTAAAGGCGTGTTTATAGTGCGACATTAGCGGAACGTTGGCAAACGTCACATGCGTCGAAGCGCATCGGCAGAGTCTAGTTATACGTTGGCTGTGGCAGTGCGTCAACTTGTGACCTGTTTTCGCCGACATGACACAGACTATGCGCACGTCGACCCTACATCGAATCATAATTGCATCTTACCAGGAGCTGAAAACATGAATGAAAAAGAAAACAACTAGCACGTGATGCACGTGTTGTCTTTATTATGGCCACACCAAGCGCTTCTTGCTTTTCTCCATATTGTTATGGAACAGGTCATTTAAGCAAAATGTTTACTCGACGAATGTGAAAATGCATTTTCAGGCGCTAAAAA